CCCCCGATTCAATTAAAAAAAGTTAAAATAAAGAAAACAGTATTGATTTAGAAACTATTACTTTAATTTAAAAATAATAAATTTAAATATAATAGAAACCACCCGCAACATGTTTGTCCCTCTAAAACTTTAAGAATTAATTTTTATTTTATCTACTTATAATGTGTGTGTTTGTGAAGGGGCATCGAAAACCTGTTTGGCTTCCATTTGGAAAAGAACGATATCAGATTATCTTTCCTAATCAAAATTTGAGTGGTCATGGTCATGAACTCGTGGCCACCGTCGTAACAATCAAGTCATGAGTTTGAATCCTGGTACAATTCAAGATCCGTCTTGAAGAGGGGCTGATGCACATTTAATCTGTCGAAGCTCAAATACCTCACGTTTGCATAAGGTGGAAGTTTGGAGAGGAAGATGGAAGTTCAGGTGTTATCCTCTTCACTTGGCCGTGGCTCAAAATTACGAAGTCCGTGCCAATAATCTTCGAGTTGCTTCGAAGAGGGCGACGTTAGTAAATAATCAATTTAATTATGATGTGTGAATTCAGTGCCTCTCTCTGAAGTCAAGCTTTCTCCATGAAAATTTGTCAAGATGAAAAGTCTAATGAATTATTTTGATTAAGATTTATATATGAATATTTCAATTCCTTTTGCTTATTTAATGGATTGATAAAGGTATTATATAGAAGAGAGAGAGAGAGATTCCAAACAACATTAATGCTAAAAGGAGTTTTTCGAGTTTGATATGAAAACATAGTATAGAGTTGTGTAATGGCATAAATATCTCGCAATCTCAGAATTTAATTCTATATTTCAGTTCCAGTCCATTGATTAAAGCTAAAAAAAAAATAACTAAATTACATGAGTCGAATAGTTTACTATAATGCGATTTAAAAATGATCTTTTTTGGAACCAAAGTGTTTGTTGCTGATTTTTATCTTTTTTCTCCCAAGTTCTTCAACAATTAAGAGCCGCGGAACTCTCAATTAGCATCGTTCTTTAAAAAAGTTTTAATAAACTAATTTAATCAAATTTTGCGTTATTTTAAAAAAATTTTTTATCCCAATGCAATAAATCTGATTTTGAGAAACGCTGTTCCATCACACAAAATATATCTTTAAATGCAAAGATTATTTCTGTATATCTAGTTTCGAAACCCCTCAAATAAATACGAATGCATAAAGCAAAGCTTTTAAATTAACTGATTGAATTTTCCTTATTCACTTGTTGTTGTCGTGTGTTTCATCCTGGGATACATAGAAAAGGCGAGAGAGTGACAAACAGAAACATACAGTACTAACACAGAAGATAATGTAGACTTTTACTATACAAACGATGACCCCAGCATAGAACAGAAGGGGTGCACTGCTTTCCATTCGAAACGGGAATTCATTTCGGGCAAAAAAAAGTCCGACTGCTTTTCCCGAAGATAAATCCATGCCTTAGTCGGGATTCGAACCCGAGCCCTCTCGATTACAAATCGAGTGTCATAACTACCATACTGGATGAGGCGGATCATCACTTATTACAGCTTAGAACATAAGGAATTAAAAGTTGTTTTAGTGTCCTTAACTAAAATTTAAAAAAACTGGTAGTCTGACTAAATCTCGAATGTCTTTTCGGAACGAGACATAATGTTAATACAGAAATTTCGCCCATTGAAAATGAAATATTATTATTATAATTCGTTAAAATGATGTAATTTTCAGGGATATAATAGCTAATTCGCTTTTATAGACTTGTTAATACTTTCCGTTCCAGCAAATGTAAATTGGAGATTTAATTGTTTTTTACTCATATGATCCAAAACAAATCTTATTTTAAAATTACTGGAATGAAATTTTGTCAAAGAAAGAAAATGTAACTAAATAAAATCTAATTTCAATTTTCAATTGAACAACAAAGTACCCCACTGTTCGTTAAAATACTTTTTTGTGCAGTTCGAAAAATTTAAATTTTTTCAATATCTAAATACATCTGCTGTGTAAAGAGAAAAAAAAAAGACACAGACACAGTTTTTACAAAAAAAAAATGATAAATTATATTATGTCACAAATACAATGATTACAATAATAAATGCACGTAAAAACAAATATGATGCAAAAGGCAGAACTAATAACAAAACCACCTAATAATTCGCAAATATGACAGTCATTACTAAAAGGTATCGCAGATATCGCTCCTTCGGCAGTATACAGATATTATAAATTACTTTTGCTGCTCCAAGACATTTTTTACATAAGAATGTGCAGTAAATACAGTCAAACATCAATGTACAATAAATATATATAACACATTATGCAGGTGTGAAAATGTTTATTTTTCATAAATGGTTATGTTTTTGCACATGACTATTGATATATAATGAAGCATTTTTAGATAATATTAAAATATTTTTATCAGTTTTAAAAATATGATACCTAATGTAATTTTTAATTGTTTCCGTTGTTTATTTAATATTATATGGAATACTAAAAAATTAATCTTTTAGTATTCTTGTAGCTTCTATTGCATACGGTAAAATATTTAGTAAAATAATGCAAGACTATTTTTTTATTTTTATTTTCAGAGTTTACACCAGAGTTGTAATAGAATATTTCGCGAAACATAGAAAAAGCGTCCAATAATTTAAAAATATTAAAAGCATTAAATGGTTAAAATATATGATTTTGCTTAAATTTTTATTTTAGGAATAATTGAAAGCTGCTGAAATCAAGTGTGCTCACAAAAGTTGATATATTTTTTTTACAAATGCAGCAGATTACATATAGAATTATATATTTATTTACTTCATGATAGTGATAAAGATTATGAAAATTAGCAGAATACATCAGCAAATTTAACAAGAATAAGAAGGAAAAGAGAATATCGTGGAATATAAAAAAATATGATTTAAAATTCCTAAAGATGTAAGTGTTTTAAAAGTCATGTAGGTTTTTTTTTTTTCAATTAATATTATTCATATTTGTGTTTTGTCTCTATACGAAAATAATTTAACCAACGGGCTTTTAAGAAATCTGCAAACTATGCAGCAACCCTGAATAAAATATAAGCATCTAAGGATTTTTCAAAAAATGTAATTATTAATTTAACTTATGGAATATACATCAAATGAAAAAAAAACGCTTTTACATTTTAAAAGAATATTACTTTAATACCTTCACAACTTTTTAACCATTTCCCATTGAATGTACAAATTCTATATAAATAACTAATTTTCAGTTTCCAAAACGAAAAAAAAAATTTTTTCATAATTTGGCTATAGTATTTACATACAAATTTTGATTTACTGACGATAATTTTTCACCAAATATCCCCTTTTGAAAACAAATTACTCCTTGAATTTTTTTTTTAAAAAAAGGATATTTTTCTTAACTTATGCATTGTCAATTATTCAACTTTTAAATATGAATTACTTAGTCTTTTTAACTATGATTAACTATTATACATAAGGAGGAAAAAAATGCCTTAAATTATACTATACTACAATATAAATATTACAGTTTTTTAACCGAAGTTACAAGTCATACAAATGCAATAATTTTACAAGAATAATGTAGTCTTCGCTAATCACCGAAGGAACTCTTCAATTTTATCACTACTTGTGACACCTGAAAATCATTATGTATACATACGAAGTTATAGTTCGTGAACATTACAAACCACCACAATTCCTGAAAATTCTTGCATGGTCAGTTCTTCACTGTCTTCAAATATCCAGTCCAGATGTTCTCAATGAATTGAATGAGAGATGGCAAACGAAAAATAACGTGAAAAGAGGAAACAGTTTTTTTGATGAGAACACCACCAACAAGGAGAGATTCGATGTCCTAATCAGAGGATGGTGACGAAGACGTTTGTCGCGAGGCCGGTGTGAAAGCTGAGTTTTCGCCTCCCATCTTAGGCAGGTGCTCCATCAGTCTTGGGGGCTGGGGCTGACTAGAGGGTGCCACCGGCTCTGGAGAAGGCACTGGGCTGAGGCTTGGAGTCGGGGATGTAGGTGGGACGACCCCATTCACGGGCTTCATCATGTTCATGCGCTGGTGGCGTCGCCATTTTGCTCGTCTGTTAGAAAACCATACCTGTTTCAAACAACCAACATAACTGACTTCAAGAAGAAGATGCAGTCACTCTTTAAAAAGATCAAAAGCATTTCGAGAGGCAATGTTTGTGCAATGGTGGAAGAAACGGCAGTTGTAGTGTTTAGACTTTCTCATCTTGTGGGCCAAAATAAAGCTGCACAAAGAGTTTCCGATTTAAAGCCTTTGCATTTGGGAGTATAAGATAGGCTGATTAATTTTTTTTTTTAATTTTAAAATTATGAATAATTTTTAACAATTTGGTAGTATCAGATATGAAATAGGAAAAAAAACCCAAATGTTTTTAAAGTCCTTCAATACAAATAGCCATTTCTAAATTTGTAAGGATTCAATGACCAATCGAGCATTCTGCTGAAAAATATCCTAATAGTAATTTTTTTTTTTTTTAAGATGGATTTAATTTATTTGTGTGTATACAGTTCTTCCTTTTTATTTTTCGTAGTACAACAAACATTGCTTCTTTCATACTGAATATCTATTTTATGCACAATTTTAAAACCTAATTTTGCAAAATTTTAAAATTTATAACTTAAAGTCATAATTAAATTAAATCAAATTCTAAAATTCCAAAATAAATTGACTTAAATATCTACATTCAAAGCATTTATACATACATCCTTGATAAAATTTCGTATAGAATCGTCAAGGAGGGGGGGGGGGGGATTAAGAGTATATGTATATATATATATATGTATATATATATATATAAATAAATTTGCACATACAAGCAAAAACTGCTTTTTTTAAAACTAGAGATGCTTTGAAGGAAGTATTATGTTTTCTAAAAATAAAATATTGTTTTTATTTTTTTTTTATTTCAACTATAATTATTTTTGTTTAAATCTGAATAAGAATATACGTTTATTAATTTATGTATGGGATCATTCTTTTTTCTTGTGATTAAAAGTTTATCTTCTAAAATAGGTAGTGTTTATATTTTAATTATTAAAACTTATTATTACTTATTATTCGGACTAATTCGTTTCTCATGAACTAAAATATCTCTGTACTATGGGCGAGATTAATAAAAAGGATATTTAATTTTATTTTAGGGTTGAATCGAACTTTGGTTTATTTGTTGAAGTAATTCTTGAGTCTGTTTCGCAAAAATGAACATTTTATAATAGATTTAAACCTCTTTATACATTTTTTAATGAGTGTGTCTCTATTTTTGGATATCAATATCATCGGCTTAAAATAAAGAGAAGCTTTAATGTTTGACTTAAATTATATATAATTTAAAAATGTGTATGAATAAAAACACTATCAATAAAATAACCATAACTTAAATAACCCTAAATAGTAATTGGAACTTTTCTGAGGAATATTTTAGACATTTTACATTAATGTATAGCGAAAGACTAAATCCCCTGTAAAAAATTAATAGACGAAAAAGACGTAATATGTGCGTTGTGGGTAATAAATCGCTAAAATTACCAACTTTAGACCTTTAGATTTTAATTTCTTTACGAAATATAAATCTTCTCGGTGATAACCTGAAGATAATAAATTCATACTCCAAATTTCAAACGAAAATAATTTCTTGGTTAATTTTCTAAGAGAAGGCTCAAATTTTCAATTACTATTGATGTATATACATACTTCTTTCTATTTTAATAGTTAAATATACTAATACATGACAAAAGACGATATATATATTAATTTATTCAATTATATATTTTCCTTGAACGAAAGACTAAAATTTTCTTTCACTTCTGATATATGAAATCAATTTTGATTTGTAATTCTGAGAATTCAGGACAATTCAGAGAAGCCGGTATAATAATAAAAAAAAAAAATAGGGTAGCTGTGTATTGCTTGTTCAGGCTTTGATACCGGCCATGTAAAAATTCCATAAAGCTAAAAGGTCTGCACAAAACAGTGGCAATACAAAAAAGAACATGAAATTATAATAGAAGAGGAAGCGGTGGAAAAAAGAACCAAGAAGACTTGCTATATCATTGCCTATCCGATAATGGATTCTCATATTGTGAAGAATATGTTTGCGCTGTGTTCCATAATAACACGGGAAAGACCTTGCGCTTTGTGTATATAATATGCATTAGGTACGCCTATTGTAGGTGGATTTTTTCCTACGCCCAGCTACTGCTTTTCATCGTCATCACTATTATTATTATTCATTCGCCAGTCCATTCTTTGTGCGACTTTTTTTTATGTTTTTATTCTCTTGGTAATTTTTTTTTTTCTCTGTCCACTTTTTCTGTGTTTTCCTGCGAAAAATAATCCAATAATCACCTCCCCTATATCGAGGCGCGCTCCTGAATAAACCAGCGGTCGAGTTGAGTTGCGCGCGAGCAGCTACGCAGACGATGCGTTTCGCGTTCCGTCCCCGCCCCTCCAGGACACTCGTACAGACAGACACATCACTTACATCGCCCACGCCCATGAGAG